GTGAGGCAACTTGCTGTAATTCCCAGGACTCTGAAGTATGTGTAAGTGGAAAAACTTTGCTTCTTGAATATGACTTGGAAAATTCCATGCTTATGGTAAGTTGCAAAAACCAGCACTGACCGCAGAAATGAAACAGCAAGACTTATACGCAGTAAAACAGCGGAATATTGATTATTTGCAGAATTATCTGACATCTGTGAAACGAAGCACCAGACGTGTCAGCCAAGTAAAACTAGGCAAGGCCCAAATTGACAAACATGTCTATGGGAAGCGGCTATGGCTAATTGCCAGTAAATTCCATTCTATGGGTGAATGTGCTCCTTCAAGCTACAGCCATATAACTTTCCATCTTCATCTGCAGCTTACCTGGTTCAGCAGAAACTCCAGCACTCGGGGGCTCTGGACCACCACCTGCTGTGCCGTCTCCGAATTCCGGGTTAAGACTTTGGTTGGGGTTGAATGACCTTCGCCGACCTTTGACCTTGTGCCGGCCTGGACCAGGTCAGCCGAGGACGATGCCTTTGGGAGGTTGGGATAGCCTGGAATGTTGTCCAGTTGGAGGTACTTCTTGATGGCCTGAAGGGTTTCAGTGGTGCAAGCTTCATGTCTACCAACAAGAGGCAATTTGTGACATGGTAACTGCTTGTATTATTTTTCTATTCTTGAAAAAAAGATAAGGGACGGCGACCATTTAGACCCGGTTTGAAAAGGGCCCCCCGGTAGCCCACCCGGTATAATGCCTGCCCGGTATTCAGCCTACTCCAGGCCGGTATAAGGCCTGTCTGCACATTGGCATTTCAAAGTCCCTGATGAAAGGCTTCCCCCAACATGCTTGCGCAGATGAATAGGGGTCTAAGCGGATTAGTGTAAACATTGCATAGAGCTGAAGGATTAAAAACCACAAGAGGGTTCCTTCTGGGATAGATTACATGTACCAGTACTTGCAAACAATAGACCCCAGGATGGAGAAGTTCGAGATCAACAACCAGTCCAGCATCCCAGGCCGGTAGCCAGGCCGGTATGAAAGGGGTTTTTGCAACCGGGCGAGCTTACCGGGGGGCCCTTTTCAAACCGGGTCTAAATGGTCGCCGGCCCTAAAACACAGCAGTCAACTTTTGACATACAGCCAAATGCCACAAATACAGATTCGCAAGTGCGATATTGGCTATTTTTGTAGTCAAGACCTCTTCAGACCTTCACAAGAACTCTCAAGATCTTTACAAGACAATCACAAAACCTTCAACAAAATCTCCGTTCTGAATTCTAGTCATAAGCTCTTCAAATGAACTGCAACAAAAGCATTCCTCTGTCATTGTTCACACTGTTAGTTGTGATTGGTATTGTGCATGGTATTGTGTCTGGACTTGCAAATGGTCTTGTGACGGTCTGCACAACAACACGGTTGTGCAGAGTGGCCAAGCTCAAGGTGAGTCCTTGACGTTTCAAAACATCAGCAGTGCCTGTGTGTACAGATAGCCAGATCACTGTTGCTTATCCTGTGGCGTGAAGTGGTGCAGTACGTTAGCAAGCTAGATTAACCCCTTGATGACGGGAATTTCTTTCCGAAAGCCGACTCCAAGAATTCCAGCCTCGCTTGGCCACGAGGGCCACCTGCCAAACCACAAATTCTCGGTTTGTGGCCCTGCGTGCTCTGCATGCTTTGAATTACACAGTGAAAAGGCTCATTGTTCAGTAGCATGCGGCTCTACTCACGTGTCCACATTCTCGTGGCCTCTTTTCNAGACGTCTGTCTCCTGAATCGGAATGAAGTTAGTTCATACCACAAATAGGCAGTGTTCTAAAAGGAGCATTTCACTGGGAACATTTTGATTGTTGAGACGTCCTATTATGAGGAACAGACCCTGTATCCATCGGAATGCATCTCATATAATAGCTCATCAAATCTCAACAAAACTCACTTGACAGCATTGACGCGAACTTGCTTTGCAGCTAATTCTGTCAACAGCAAAGAAAACAAGAACACGTCAAAAATTAAGTAACTATCTGCTGTCCACTGCTGGCGTTAATATGGGGCAGTGCAGGAACTATTGAAGTAAATATTGTTAGAAACAATAAACTGAACATTTCCATCTGGACCAAACTGAAGAAACCCACTTCCAAAGTTCTACTCTAGTGTGCAAGAACCTCTGAAGGGCAACAGAGAGACAGATTACTGCTGGTCAGTGCTGTTGTGTGCATGCATTTACAATTAGGACAAATGCAAAGACAATTCCAATATGTCCACATACAATGTACATATGTAGCTCTGCCTACTTCCACAGTGCACAAGATCTAGTGTATGCATGCAGTGTGTCCAAATATTGGAGTTGTCACACGGGACCATCTCAGGCCCATAACTTGGGAGAGGTGCAGGGGATGTGTCTGCACCCCCCCCCAACTAAAAGGTCCACTTTTAAGGCAAGAAAAGATTTTGAGCTATATTAGAACATTTTGTGCAAAAGCAAAATGCTGCACGCTTCAGTAATTTTTGCCTCGGTCAATCCCCTCTTCAGAAGTTTACTTGTAACCCCCCCTAAAACAATTGGTACGACCTCATGAATCCCACTGTTTTTCAAAATAAAAAGCAAAATATCTATGCTTGGTCGGCTTTGTTGAAGAAAAAGCACACAGCCCACGAAAAGTCCTAGTTACGGGCCAGAATCTGTCCTACTGTTTTCCCACAAACATCATGGGATGGATTAAAAAGGGAAGAAAGCCTTCAGAGCACAGATTATAATTGAACTGGTAAGTGAGAACTACAACTCACAACATGGAATAGAAAAGTTGAAGAAAACATCTTGACCTCCTAGTCAAATCCCTAGAGAATGTTTCAGGAGGAAACCAACCAAGTACCAAGTAGTAAAGAAAAGTACAAAACACAAAGAAAGAACGAATGCATCAGATGCAACGGCAAAACTGTACAGCTGTAATGTAATAAGTAGAACCAAAAGGCAGAGTTTAGTCGTGAAGCTCTAGAAAAATTTCAAGCAATTTCTAATTTTCAAGACTTTTGTCTGATGATTTTTCCGCTATACACACTTCCATTATTACAGTGGGCGCTCTGTAATAATCACAGTTGGATATTCCATAACTATCTCCACAGATTGTAACTTTGAATGGTACAGATCAAACCACAGCACCTCAACACCTTGTTGCAGAGAGAATCAAGGTTGGTATTTCATGTGCTTTGTTTCTCTACATATTTGTGGAGCAATGAGTACTTACCAAGTGCACAGCATTTAGTGAACTGCATGATGGCTGCCTTGGACATATTGTATGTGATCATCATAGGAAGCTGCAATGTATGCAATAGGAAAATGCTTTCAAATTTGTCATGGATCCAACAATGCAAGTTTCCTTTGTACAGTAAGGTTTCAGGATATATATACACTGCCATAATATCACGCACACAAATCTAGCTTGTGAATTTGCTGAAAACCCTTTACGTTCCCGAGTGTACTGCAGGAATGTTTTCCAACTCCATCAAACTTCAATGCTGCACAGAAAACAAGAGGATGAAATTTTGCACATTCGTACAACTTGGACGATCAAGCTGGTTATTAAAGTGCATTACTGGCACTCCCACTGACTTCTTGGTGATCATTTTTTATTAGGCATTATTAAGTTTCTCATGATTATGAACCCTTTCTCTGTCACAGGTGCATTGACCTTATGAGCAAAACTTTACTAATGTCACAGTATTTTGGATGGGCAGCTAATAAAGGTAATTAACAGAAGTATTTCGCCATACATGAAGTGTCACGCAATGATTCATTACTTGTGAGCCAATTCTGCTTATGTTAATAAGCATTGCTATATTGATCTAGGCTAAGGTTTCGCACGCAGACTTCAAATAAATGAGATAAATAGAAAGAAAGCCTTACTTCCAACATTTTCCTTGGGAAATTTTCTTTGACAAATATACTGTACTCAATAGTGCTTAGTATAGTGAGCTGGTTACTTACAGTTCTAGTGGCGCAAACGCTGGAAACGTTGACAATATTCCCTGTGGAGAAAAAACAAATTATTAATTTTAGATGTTTGATTATTGTTTAATATGCTGTTGTTAAAATATAACAATGCAGATAACTGTCAGGGGAACATATCCCCCAGTGTGGTGCACATATCCCCAGTGTGGTGCACAAGATGCTGAACATCAGTGTTGTATGACTCAAGTCCAGGACTCAGACTCGAGTCAGACTTGAGTCACATTTTTCATGACTTGGATTCGACTGGAGTCACATTAAATAATGACTCGGACTCAACCACAATGACTCTGACTTGAGCTTGGTGACTTGTGACTCGAGTCATGTATTTTCATTAAACATATTTACCATATACGCCGTCGAAAATTAATTTGTATGCACCCGTGCTATCGCTGGTTTGCATGCCTGGAGCATTGACACATTGCACATTTTCCACTTCGCCCATTTATGTTTGGCTAAATATCAACTGATGAGTCAACCAGACGCGTCATATTCCACATCTACAAACTGTGCAGCAGTAATCAGACTATTCACTGGGCGCACATTTTGTTATTTACAGGTGAGTACCGACATACATATTCAGCCTCACAGTCTCCAGAACCAGTTGCAAATACATGAAATAGGAACAATTTTAGTGAAATGGCCAGGCTCGTGTGTAAATCGTGTGTGGCCTGCACTGGGCGTGACTGTAAATGGTTTTAAATATCCTCATATTTGGCCAACATATTCTCCTTAAATTAATTTTGTTCCACTAAATAGAAATAAATGAAGATACTGGAAGTTAAAGTTTGAATGGAGGATGATTTTCATAAGCAAAAAAGGACTCGAGGTTAGTGACACGACTCAGACTCAAGGTTTGTGACTCAAGACTTGGACTGGAGGCTTGAGACTCGGGATTCGGACTCAACATTGGTGACTCGACTACAGCACTGCTGACACATCACTAATGCTAGCTGGCACAAAACAATGTGTGTTTGAAGTAGACTTCTCAACTCTTCCAACTTACAAATAAAATAAAATTACTCACAACACCATTGTGAATTTTATATCACTTCAAACATTTCCACAGCTGTAGTCTTGAGTCTAACGTAAGTCAAGCTGAAGGAAGACCCAGAGGTGTGGTCAACAGCAACAAGGAATGAGGAATGGCATGATGGCCTGGTTTCTGAAACTTGTGACTGAAGTTGAGACTAGGCAAACTTAGATGAGTAGGTCATAACTTTTAAAGGACAAAACTGCAGCACTGGTATTTTCTGAATAAACTTTTGAAACCCAGGTCATGATGTCAGGATGTCACAAGCAAACGCATCTTTGGACAAAACATAACCATTGCCAAAGGTCACTTGCATGGTATTTCCGTAGTGCACTTCCTACCACCAGTGAGTACACTGAACACATATGCCTGTACATGTATACGTTGTGCGCATTGATACGATAATTGGTCAGTTACATGTACACACCCACAGCCCTCTACATGTGCATATATGCATGCAAAGTGTCCTTTACTGGCTTCTCTATATGGGCCACTCATCAATCATCTGAAATTACTGGAGAGATAAAATCTGCCCATCTGACCTTTGGATTGAGCAAGGTGTGGAACAGCAAGATGGGTCAGCTGCAGCACTGCCCGAACGTTGACTCGTATGATGTCGTCATAGACGTTCATGATGCCTTCCTCGCCTAAGTACTTCACGCCACCGATTCCCGCATTGTTCACCTGTAGGTGTGAGGAAGATGCACGTCAAAAGATGACAGTGCACCCTTGCAAAGGATGCAACAGTGATTTCAGGGTGGTTTGACAATTTCCGTTTGGTGTGTGGCATACTTACATGTGGTGTGGACCTTCACACAAAAGAAGTCCAAATAATGTAGGGTTAAAAGATGTGTGGACTCACACACATCCACACAGTGTTTTCCCTTCAATCAAAAACTACTCCAGAGGTATTAGAGGTCAGGATAATTTGTGAAGAAATAAATAGGCACAGTTCAGGGAATCATCAGCCAAAATGTTACCATGCACATGACTGAGGGAGAAAAAGGGGCATTTCCCGCGAGTTTTCTGAACCATACAGGAATAATGGAATGCCCATACTATGAAACAAACGGGTGTGTGGGTCTGCGCTGAAAAGTCTTCACTTCATGCATGGAAGGACAACTCCATTCACTGGTGACGTCAAGATGGAGTTGTGTGTAAAAAAAAATACATGTGTAGTCCTCATAACTACCTAACAAGTAAAGGTATGTGTATAAATATATTCAAATCAGGGTCCAAGGATGGGTGAGGATCCACACTTAGTAAACCGTGTGCAATTGTACACAGTTTTCCAATTGCAATGTTTGTAATTTTATTTTGTCTTTCCC